TCTGTTGCACTGCTCAACAGAGGGTGTTTCTGGAGGGAACAGATGATAAATAAATGAATATTTACTGGAAACATAAAGCTGCTGTTGGTGTGTTCAGTAAAAGCTCTGCTCTGGTTCCTCCTTTCGACTGACCTGCTCTGAGATCTACAGTCCAGACTAACCTTCCCGTCTTTAACTTGTAATAAAAGAGTCTGCAGCAGGGTTATGATCTCCTCTTCATCATCTTATCATTTGTTAACTAGTCCAACTCTTCTGCTGGAGGCAGAAACTCACTGGTTTACATTTGGAACATAGTCATAATGCCGATTTTATTCCACAAATATTGTGTATACATGTTAACTTGAAATAAATCTTGAGTTTAGCTTACAGAATAGAAACAAGTACTGTTTATAAGTAATGTATTTTTATTTCTTGATTCTTCTTAAGCTTCAGAGAATCTCTTCAGTGGCTTGCTGTTCCAGATTTTTGGAGCAAAAATGTGAAAAATGGTGATGTTTAAAATGTTTGAATCAGTCAGTAGCAGGTTTTTTTTTTTACCACTTAGAGCAGTTTCCTCTGTCAGCAGAGCTGAAAGGGTGGAAGAAGTGAAGAAACCATTTCCTGTTTTATGAGCTTGTTGATGAAAGTGTTGAAGTGTCGATCTCCACTGTTGATCTTGTTTTAAATTTTTAACCAGTTTTTAAGAGCTTACAGTTTAGTTTAGACAGCCTAACAATAAAAGCTTTATCATTTGAGCTTTCAAATACTTTATTAGCTTGGTTTAATTTAATGTAAACAACTTTTAAGAAAAAACAGCAGTTTGCAGTGACAGCTCACCACTGCGTGTGTGCACGTGATGTGCACGAGTAAGATGTTGACACACTTCTCACTTCACTCATCCGCAGATACATACAGTACAAGATATTGCTGGATCCAAGTGCTTCTGGATAGAAGTCCTTGAAGGGGACCACTGGAATGGACTGCTTGTATTGTAGTGTTTATATCAGAGATTTTAGATGCAGGCTGATATAATCTGATATTCACTTTTTGGCTAATATCAGACATATATCTGATATTGATATTGGGACACATGTAGTTTTGATTACATCCTTGTTTTAAAATCAAAATAGCGAGTGACTCCATTTAATTCTTGATTTCCGCAGCTGCAGAGAGAACATTATGGCGCGGTATGAGGGCCAAAAATAACCTTCAACCAAATCCTTGTAGCAGGAAGCAATATCTATTCTTAAGTCAGCTATTGATCTGATTGATAGGCCGACACCGCTAACTGGGAGGCTGGCCCCGCTAACTGAGAGGCTGGAGCTGGCAAATGAGAAGGAGACTACTCATTTGTGTTAGCATCAGAGAGGTTAGCGACTAGCATGAATAAGCTGGTGTTAGCATTGGAGAGGCTAGCATGGATAGGCTGTGTTAGCTAGTTATGCCTGAATTAGCAGCTGCGTTTGCTCTTTTGTTTTAGTCGACAGCTGTTTTTATTTCTTCTGCAGAATTATGAGACAGAACTATCAAGTTGGGGCTTTTAAGTGTCAAATTAAGTAGCTGAGCATGTTAAAGGGCTAATATTATGTGTTTCTCAGGCATACATTTAAATACTATACCATAAGTATCTGTCACTTTTAGTTGTTATTTAAATACTGTTTTTATGTTTAAATAGAAAATAAACTTATCTTCTCATCACTTCCTCTTCTAAACGCCTTGAAATTGGCCTCTGTCTCTTTAAGAACCTCCTTCTGCTTCTGTCTCGCCCATTTCGGTGCAGTGGTGGGGGGGGGGGGCTTCGCGCTTGCGGGGGGAGCAGGGCTGCTATGATGCAGTTTACTTGGCATCTAAAAATACATTTCCTCCAAGGTATTTTTTTAATCTGAAAAGAGCTTCACTGACTGAGAACTAATGTTAGGAGCTCAGAAGACAGTTTAAGTTTCACTTTCAGTTTCACTCGAGAGCCTGCAGGAGTCATGGGCGGGGTGTGTGGTGTGGTGGATGAGGAGGTATGCTCCGTGATGAGGAAGTTCGGCTTAAAGACACGTCCCAGGGGCGTTTCTGTTACCTTTTTTCCCAGGGGCTTTTCTGGTCCCAAAAGGCATTTCTAGTCCCCACCTGTCGTTTTGCTCCTCAACATGGCTTCCTAAAAATGCTGCAGGATTTCTCAAACATGCATGAATGAGTCAAAGCAAGGCTTTGGGTATGTTTTTTATGACAGTATAACATGATATAAAACTCAAAAAAGTTGATTTTACGATATTGCCCCTTTAATCTCTGGCCTCTCCAATGCTAATGCCAGCTTATCATGCTTGTCGCTAGCCTGTCTGATGCTAACACAAACTAATAGTCTCCCTTCTCATTTCCCAGACCGAACCTCTCAGTTACCGGGGCCAGCTGCTCAGTTAGCAGTGTCGGTCTATCATTAATCAGATCAATAGCTGGCTTAGGAATAGATATAGCCTCCTGCTACAAGGATGTAACAACTGCTGGTTGCATAATAGTCTTGATTTTGGCCCTCGTACCGTGCCATAGTACAGAGAAGATGCTAGGTCAGCTCCTCACACGTGTGAATATATCACTAATCACCGGTCGTTAGGCTGATAATGACTGATGGAAAATTTGAAGCCTATCACCCAACCCTACTGTCCAAACTCCAAAAGTCCCGGGGAGGTCAGGGTGTGGTGTGGGGGTGCGTGAGTCATCATGTGATGTCTTGTGACTGGTTAACTAACTAACCAGTGAATCTGTGAGTGGACATTCAATCTATATAAAAAGACACATCTTAGCAACAAATGACCACAAGCTTAGCTGAACTGATCTGGCTGACTGGAGCGGAAGAGAGGAAGAGAAGACATGAGTTATGTGATGTTGCAAAACAAGCGTGCTGTGTGACTGCAGAGCCCAGTTCAACAGCACCTCCACGAGTTGAACCACCACCTGGTGGTCCCAAATGCCTGTCTGCCCCTGAGTGCCACTAGTTGCAAAGTACTTAATATTAATCCGTGGCAGTTTTTCTGATGCACACGATAAGACTTTGCTCAGCCCTAGCACAGAACTACAGAAGCTCCAACAGAAAGTTTACACTCAGTGTGGAGCAGAGACAGACTGGTCAGTGTTCTCACCTCTGGCTTTGATCTACAGTCTGTGGTGTGAGTCCTTTTTAATCTGCAAACGTCTGGCAGTCTGAATCGATGTAAGACCTTAGACTGAACTGACCTCACACAAGCAGCTCAGGTGTTAGCATGATGTCTCTGTGTCAAAAAAACGAGTTAAATATTTGTTTCAGTTGTTTTTGGAGCTTCTGTGGTCACTGTAAAGCTATAATGTGCTGAGTCAGGCCGAACAGCATTATGTCAGCTGCTGCACTCTGCAGTGGAGCTTTATGGGTAATATCTGCTCTGACACTGAGCTCTGTGAAGTCACAGCTGAAGACAAACATCAGGTGAGGTGTCAGCTGAGCTGACTTGCAACATGTTTAAATGTTATTTAATAAGGTGAGACACACACCTGGAACAGCTACACAGAGTCTTTACTGGGATCCTCTGGGTTTAAACAAAATGTCAGAGTTCTGAAACAATAAATGATGTAAAAACAGTTTGTTTGATCGTAATGTTTCTCATGACTTTCAGCCTCCTGCTGGCTGTAACTCTGATCTGTCTGATCTGGCTGTAAATGTGTGATTTCAGGTCCACATGATTTGAACAATCATCAGCCAGCTGAGCTTCTTATTAACCCACAAATCAGGTCTTACTCAGTCCTGAAAGTCCACTGGTTCATATTAATCCTTCACATACACGTGTCAGACTGGCCCTCCTCCTGCACATGTGATGGACTGGCTCTCCACCTGCACATGTGACGGACTGGCTCTCCACCTGCACATGTGACGGACTGGCCCTCCACCTGCACATGTGACATGCTGGCCCTCCACCTGCACGTGTGACGGACTGGCCCTCAGCCTGCATGTGTGACGGACTGGCCCTCAGCCTGCACGTGTGACGGACTGGCCCTCAGCCTGCATGTGTGACGGACTGGCCCTCAGCCTGCACGTGTGACGGACTGGCCCTCAGCCCGCACGTGTGACGGACTGGCCCTCAGCCCGCACGTGTGACGGACTGGCCCTCAGCCTGCACATGTGACGGACTGGCCCTCAGCCCGCACATGTGACGGACTGGCCCTCAGCCTGCACATGTGACGGACTGGCCCTCCACCTGAACATGTGACGGACTGGCCCTCCACCTGAACATGTGACGGACTGGCCCTCCTCCTGAACATGTGACGGACTGGCCCTCCACCTGCACATGGGATTAGACATGTATTTAGGCTTAGGCCACAACAGGATTATTGTGTGCAGCAGATCTCAGACCGCCTCTAACCTCATCCTGTTAATCAGGAACATTTTCTGTCTCCAGAATGTAGCGAGGAGACAGAGCAAGTTACAAGATGTTTATAAAATAAACATGGTTTACACTGGAAAAAGTACAATAAAGACTCCCTTTAAAGAATCAAGAGTGAGTCCAAAAATGCCTCCAAGTAGGAGCCAGTGTTTTCTGAATTTCAGGTCTAAAATCTCATTAGCCAATGACAGAACAGGAAAGACATACTTTACTTTGGTGTTATCTGTTTGTGTTCGTCTGTCAGCAAAATATCTCATGAGCCTTCTGGCTAGTTTAAAAGAAACCAGCAGTAAATAATCACTGAGTGGACATCTAAGTATCGGAGCCCATTAACAATGGCTTCTACGGTCAACTGAGCCTAAAAATCACCGACAGGTTAGAACAGTCAGGTAACAGTTTGCTGTGGTGGTAGCTGAGTGTCATTCACAACATGTTCTCACCATGTTGCATGAGATTTTCAGGCTCCACGCTGTCATTTCTCAGCATGAGTCTGAAACTCTAGCATGAAGGGTGGTGGTGGGCGATGTGCATTACTGGCCTTTACTGATGCAGATATGTAGTAACCAGGGGTTTGATGGGTTATTTTGGAGTGAATTCTAATGTTTATATGTAATGTTGGTGCAGGAGGAACAGGATGGACTCCGGCCTCGTCTCTGCCACATGAAGAAAGGCCCATCCGGCTACGGCTTCAACCTGCACAGCGAGAAGTCCAAACCGGGTCAGTTCATCCGAGCCGTGGATGAAGACTCTCCTGCACAGAGAGCCGGCCTCCGACCACAGGACAAGATCATTCAGGTCTGACACCTCCTCTGTGTGTGTGTGTGTGTGTTGGATCAGCTGTGACTGCGTAGACTCCTGTTCTGTCCCTCTACCTAATGCTGTATTAGTGTAGAGGAGAACTTCAGTGCTGATGGGGGACTTCAGACAGTTTGAAGGGGACCAGGATCTGGTAGGGAGTGTTTGGACCCACCTGCTGATGCTCAAAGTGGGAGCTGCTGACACTAACAGATTCCTGGTCGTAGTCCCACCTCCACGTTTCCTCCCACAGGAATTCCTCAGAGTCTTATCTCTATGTTCTTGCTTCAGTCCAGCTGTGGGAGTGTTTGTTCAACAACATTCTCCGCTGCTGTTAGTGCCAGGATCTTGTTCTAGTTTTACTCTTCAGATGTGCACAGTGTGTTCATGTCATCTGCTGCCTGGGTCACCGTGTTTCATGGGGACTGTTATAACTGTCACACAAGATGTTTGCATCATGTGTGACAAAGGAAGATAAAAAAAAAGTCAAGAAAACCAAACACAAAGAAAAAAATACAAAATTTAGACTAGATCAAACAAAAGATCAAAATACTTTTTTGTAAAAGTGAATTATTCTTCATAAAAACTTGAGATAAGATAAAACTTTATTGATCCCACCGTGGGGAAATTTGCACATTACAGCGGCTCAAAACAGGAGAGGATGAGATAGAATAAAGAAAAATAAGTAAAAGAAAAACAAAAAAACACTATACTCATGATATATAGCAATGTACATATACGTAGTACAGTACATAAATGCATATAAATGCAGGTGCATATTACTGATGCCAGTGTAGGTGAATTGTCCAAGTGACTGATAACATCATGATGTGTTATACAGTCTAACTGATGACATCATGATGTGTTATACAGTCTAACTGCAGTTTGAATGAATGACCTACAGA